GCCTGGCCCTCTATTCGGAACAGCCCAAGTTCGAGCCAAGTAGTTGTGCTAACCAAGTAGTTGGCAAAGTTGATGCTGGCCAAGGAAGTGAGGCCTCCGATTTCAAGCCCATCGGGTCAGATCCCCCGGTGTCAAAGGGAAGTGTCCTTCGATTCCAAGCTGTTCCGTGGGTCCATTGGAGAGCTGCACATCAGGACCCATCCATATTTTTACGAGCAGATCCACATGCAGGCAGAACTCACTCCAGGTACCTCATGTAGGCGCTTGTTGGTTGGGGCTTATCAAAACTAGGTCCCTCAGTCGTGCCGGTTTACCCCTTTTTTGGGGGAGGGTAGACTACAGAAAAAAGGGTACCCTTATTCTAACCTCTCTACTGGAGGACCTACAAAAGGGCCAGCTAACAGGGTTCTAAGCACCCCTCTGCGGAGTCGGAGCTTTGGTGTCCTCCCTCTTCGTTCTTCGGGTTGGAGTGTTTGGCTTCCTCTCCAAGGTACAATCCCGCGAGCCCGCAGCGCACCCTGCAAGCCTCCATTCCCATGAAGCTGTTGGCTGACCACTTCGAGGACTGGCATGACATCCTGGAGGCAAGCTCAGATCCCGGCACAACAACCGGACGAGGGCGCAAAAGGAATCCTGGATGGATTTGTTGGAGTGCCTGGACACCCCCCTATTCATAAAGTGGGGGGTCAACATTCGTGTGCGATCTACGGTTTGGGTGAGTGAATGACTCAACTCTGGTTGATTTCCCGCGCAACGAGGTCATGGCTTGCTTTTTGGAATTGCAATGTCCCGATTCGCCCCCGACTCGATCGATATCTCCCCAGAAGAGACAAGTCCGGGACTTGCTTTTTCCAGGGATTGCAATGAGGGACCTCGGAGGGACCTTCTTTCAATGGTAGCTGTTCTAGACACAATGAGCAGAAAACACCGTGAAAAACTGACACTTGAGCTTCACTTGGCGTGCCTTCACCGGCAAACTATGAGCACCGACTGCCGAGTTTGGCAACGCGAGGTGTCGGTGAACGATGGGGGCATCCCCGTAAGCCTGTCCTACCGTGTGAAGCACACGCTGGGGCTTATGCCCTTTGATCACACGCAGGCGGGAGGGAGGGAGAGAAGTTTAAAGGAAAACGGAGAGGACGCTGACCACTTTGCAGGGTCCCCTATTTTGAGACATGCCCACCAACTGTCTTTTTCCCAGGTGTTCCAACAAGAAGTGGTTGGGAACTTTGGGGTCATGGCCCTCCCGCCCGCCGCCAGGTGCATCTCTCAGAGCCCTCGCGGCTGGAAGGCGCCCGGGTGCAGCCGCCGGTGAAGGATGCGGATGGCAACATCAAGCAGGGCCAGGACGAGACTTCCGAGAAAACTGGCCCAAGAGACCTGGGCGTCCCTTCCAGTTCCAGTTCTTGAACCGCTTTCCCGGAAAAAGTGTGTTCAATCGCATTTCGGGGTGGAATGTGAAGCGGAACATGTGATTTTGCGGTGTGGAAATGTGGGCCAAGAAACAGAGGGCTACTCTGGTAGTAGCTCTTGAACTAAGTCGAAGTGAGTTTCCTCTTGGTGTGATGGATTTTACACGGGAGCTGTAAGCCCTGAAAACCACCTTGAGGTATGGAAAATGGTTGAGCTTGTTTTCAGGGGGTTGGCTCAGTCAGATTGGCCCTTCAATGACATCTGCACCGCCAAAGAGGCTTAGTAGGATCCCTTTTATTCCCACAAAGGAACGATCCAAAGGTCATCCTTCATGGGTGAGACCTCCGTTGCTTCCGCCTGGTTGAAGGGGGTTCATGTCAGGTTGTGCGAGACTTTGAAGTAGATGGCACAATTCCTGTTTAATCCCACCCTTGACTTACATGAAGGGGCTCAAGCTGTCTAATGTCACCTAACTTGCAGCTTGCACCCTTTTTTGATTGGTATTTCCCGCAGAAAAAAGAGGCTGGAGGACGCTGTAAACCAGACCTGAGAAGGAGCCACAACAGCAGTCCTTCCTGCGGAAGTACTGGTGGGTCATTGCCATCGCAGTGCTCCTTATGTCCAGCATGGGCGATGATGGCAAGGGACAGGGTGGAGGCAGACCAGGCGGCGGCGGCGGTGGCGGCGGTGGCGGCGGCGGCGGAGGCGGCGGCGGCGGTCGCCGGGCCTGACATGGCCAGAGACAGATGTGCAATTCGCGCGGTCGGAAGCAAAAGAAGTGAGGAGCGATAGTTCACGCCTTTCAGTGTAGTGATGAGGTTTGATCGGCGTGCGTGAGATTGCTGCTGTTCAGTATGCCATTGATCATGCTGCTTGCGGGTGGCACCTTGCGCTTTGAACCCAACCAACGGGCGCATGTAAGCCATGCTCGTGGCAAGGCCCTTGCACAGCTCACCTGCCTGGAGCCTCGCGCTTGGCAACTTGTTTAGGGCTTTAAGATCACTTGGATAAGTGCATGCTGCTGTTTGTGTGTTTGTGTTGGTTGGTTGCTTGCTTGGTTTAGCTGGGTTGTGTTGGATTTGGGAGGGCTCCGGCTTTGACACATTCCCGGGTTGCCGGAGTTGCGTCCAAAATGCTCTCACGGGGCTGTCTCGCCATTTTTCTCGGGCGAACCTAGCAGGTGGACGAGCACTGGACAAGGGCCGAAAGTCATGGCCATGGGATAATCAAGTGTGCGAGTTTGTGTTACTCAAACTCAGGGGGCCCCAAAAATGGTGGGTGTCCTTTTAATGTCCCTTCAAAAGCCACCAAAAGGAGGGGTGCCGAACAAGAATGACGCACAAGTTTCGCCCCTTCATGGTTCCCCCTTTTTGTCCAGTGGACATGCGGTGCTTTGAGGTTTGAGGGCGCCAGGGCAGAGACGTGGAGTTTGGCACCGCTGGTGTTTCGGCCCCAGAGTTGGGGGAGCTGGGGGCTCGGTACGAAGTTCGGCCCAAGATCTCCCTGAGTTCCCAGACAATTCTACTTTTGGGGTTTGGACCCCTTTCTTGGGCCAGTCCCCTTAGGACGTTGTTGCTGGGTGTTTTGGAGCAGGCTTGTTACATGGTTCAACCGTGCATGTTTGGTTTCATCATCTATTTGGAGACAAACCCACATGGTCACTCAAGCTCAGATTTTGCAGGCAAGAGGCGGTGTTTCAACTGCAGGAGATCATGGGAGGTTGGTGTGACGCCCAGCGAAAATTCTCCACCCCCAATGTATGGCTCGAGCCGCGGAAATGGGGCAGTTGCACGTCCTCTTAAGCACCCGGGCAAAAATCCGCCAGAGGATTCCATGCCAGTCACATTCAAATGGTTAAACAAGAATCCTGTCTTTGTGTCCGTGCCCATCAAACGTCCAACTCCTCCCCAAACCCAACTCCGGGGCTTCGGAGGACCCGGAGTTCGCCCTCAGGTCCAGTGCCCGACAGCTCCAAGTACTGGTGCCGGCCCCCGGTTCCGCTCGATCGGCTAGCTTCCTTTCTGGGAGCCATGGCAATGACATGGGACACCTGGCCCAGAAGGAATTGGCTTGGCTGAGCATAGGCACCGTTTTGCTGGAAAGCAGGCAGCAAAGAAGCTTTCCTGCCCGAAGAGCTAGAAGAGACGTAGCCATGATGAAGATCCCTTACTTCAGATCTGTTAATTTAGAAGCTCGGAATTGTATACTTCTGGGACTCTGTCCCCTCGCAAAACCAGACCTCTCTTTGTTTGTCTCAGTTTTGTGTGTCAAGTTCTGCGTTTGCTCAGCGTTGTAGGCACCAGCCGAGCAGAAGATTGGAAGTGCCCTTGCTACGTGCCAAGGAGCAAACATACCAGTCAGATGATTCTGAGGTGTTGGTGCTCCCGTCCCTGGCTAACAGCGCATTTGACAACTTCATATTAGGCTTTGTCAAAAAGTAGTGGCTCGTCCTCCCATTCCGTGTTTTGCTATCCCGTGGCTCCCTATTTCCAACCAAATCAAGGGCCCCATGTTTGAATCGAATCACCCGAGTTTGGAGCTCGATTTTGGCAGCATGTGTCTGCCATGACTGGCAAAGCCACAGAACAAGCCTGCTTGATTCGCGCTCATGGTCTTTGAACGCCCCCAAGCACTAAATGACCTACGACCGTCTATTTCCCGAGAAAAATAATCCTCGATTTGGTTTGGCGGAAAATCCCCAGGTTCATTCCCAAAACCGTGGACAAACCCAAGTGTCATGGTTTTAAGGGTGCCCCTTTTGGAGCGGTTTCAGGGAAACCCAACAGAAACGAGCATGCCCTGTTTACCCACCGCGCCGGTTCCCTCGGCACGAGGACCTGAGCGACTCGGACTTCGGGGATGCGGATGCCCAGCCGCTTGGGCCATCGGGGACGTCGACCTGACTTCGTGTGGTGAGAGCCGCTGGGGAACTGGATTCCTAGGTGCTTTCTCATTTGAGCCACAATCAAAACCCAGGTTAGTAAGGGACGATCCCAACCATAAATAGCGGCGGCCGCCTTCTTGACCTGTACATGGTTCTGGGTAGACCATTTTAGTGCCCGGTTTTGATTGCGACTCCTTTGGGTTTTGGAATTCCACATAAAACCCAGAGATTTGTTTTGCGGCAGCAGCTTCAGTTGGGATGCTGTTGCACCTGTACAGCTTACGGTTGAAGCTTTGCGGCTTTTTGGGAGTTGTCAAAGTTAGGGCCCTTGTGGCACTTTGGCATCATTGTGTGTGTGTGGTGTTTAGAGGTCTACACGGTGCTCTCAAAGAGAACCACCTTTTGTCCGCCCACGCTCCAACGTGAACCTCAGCACTGCAAGGGCCAGCGATGAAAGTTGCAGAGGCTTAAGCCGCAATGGAAGCAAATCCAACCACGACAGAGTTTAGTTGGAATGTCCCGCAACATGTGCTGCCCATGTTTCCTCTTAAATGGGAAAGGCTAGATCGTTCAGCGTGGTGGATTTGCTTCCAACGCCTCTCTTGGCCTCAAGCAAGCAGAATAGGACTCAAACGGTGTTCATAGATGTTCGTGGAAAATCTGCGATGTTTCCCTCGAAGCACTGCCCACAAACGCAGCATATCTTCCTATCGTAAATGCCCTGCCCCCATTTCAAGGTCAAAGGTCCAAAGCCGGGGGTGGATAGGCCAGCCTTGAGCGGGGATACTGTCAAACCTTGCCAAACGAACCCTAGCAATAGATTTGCTGTTTCCGCACAGTTGAATGGTAATTCTCGGGACTAGGAATTCGTTTTGGCAAAAAGCAGTGGCAAAAGCTTCTTGTAATCCAAGCACAGTTTTGGACTTTGTGATCAAGCTAGCAAAAATTGCTTTTGGGCTGGCAGAAAGGGACGCCTTCAATCAGCCCTCCTGGTGGGTGTGGAAAAAGCGACATCTTGAACCATGGTTTTATTTCTCATGGGGAACCACTACTGCCAAAAAGCAAAGGATACATACATGTACTGCATCCAAATACTTGCAGGTTCCTTTTTACCTTTATTTGTTTGTTGGATGCAGCACAATATATATAGAGAGAGAGAGAGATGCATACTGGCGTGCCCAATTTTCGCACGGGCTAGCGGGTTGGGGTGGAACCCTTTCAGGCAGCTGGCAGCCGCAAGTCTGGGGCCCTTGCTGCTTTCCCGCCTGGCCTTCAGGCGGGAGATGCTTTTCACCGGGCTCGCCCGCCGCATTGGGCAAAATTGGTTCACAGCCCCCCGTTGTTTGCGTAAAGGGAACCCAAAAGAGGGAACCCAACCGGAGGTTCATTAAACAACCGCGGTTGCACTTTGTTTGAAGGGGTTGGCAAAGCTTGCTAGGGCGTCGCCAGTTTCGTGCCACCTGGAACTGGGTGAATTGGAAAGCACAGGCTGATGCCACCCATTGCAAGCGTATCGACAGAAGGAAAGGTGGAGGGTTTGGGGCCAGACCTTAGCTGAAGTGCTTAGTATGGGACACTTAGTACAGATATCCACCTTGGATTCTTCACAGGGTTTGGGGCAGTCCCGATATGCGAGGCTTTCTCACGCTATGCCGCCGTCCAGCCCCACTGTTGCCTTCAACTCTACGTTTTGAACTCATTGGTGCTGTCAATCGAAACCATATGAAATCACCTTAAGCAGCAGCGCCCGGCCGGTGCAAAACAGTATGTCCTTAAGCTGTTCTGCACCATTTCCCTTTGAACAAGCTCCAGAATTACTTGATGGCAGCCAAGGAACACACATGTTCAGCCAGCTCTGGAGAATGCAGAACCCTCGATTTATGAGCACACTGGCTTGCAGCTAGCAAGTTGCAGGACCAAGTTCTTGTTCAAAGGTATTTTTGTCGGCAAGACTATTGTCGAAGAGACCACACAGTAGCATGCATATCTCAATCAACACAATCGCAATGAACACCGGAGAACCCAACAACAAGGCCTCCAGTCCGCGGGAGGTGCCAAGACATTCCTTTTTTTGTTGTCGCTTTTTGGAGCCCTGACGTTTCCTTGCCTTGCCATCCCCTTTTTCTTGCCCCTCCGTGTGAGGTTTGGTTCTCAAATCTGAGGTGGGTGTACTCACGCGCAGGCGCTGCCGCTTGCGCACGCCTGCTGGTGCTGTGGCCGTGGCGAGGACTCCTGCGGGCCTGTGCCCGGCTTTGGAAGGATTTTTCACCTCAATGCTTTGTAAACCTAGGATGTTGGCCTAGTGCCCAAAATGATTCTTGCGATGTTAACCTAGGATCAACACCCAAAAGCCACACAAACAACTTAACAAATCCTTTTGGGCACTCAACTTCCCCGGAATTCGGACTCTGGACTCCTCCCCGACACGAGCGGGTTTCGTTGGCCTCGCGGTCCGGATCTTTGCAGGTCAGCCGGTCGGTGGGTCGGGTGAGTCGAAAGCCTCAAACAGTACATCAAGGGGTTGCATGCATTACTTTCATTGGTCCAGCTGTTTGTTTGGTTTGTTTTTTTGTTTCTGCTTTGCAACCGGGCGTTTTGCGTGGCTTTGGTGCTTCGACCCTAAACCCATCCTAAATAAACCACGACTAAGCCAACCCGCAACCATTCCAAAAACTGACCTTAAACCCACCTGAAAGCCACCCAAAGCTGCAGCCAGCGGGTCCAGACGAGATCACAGCAACATAAGATCGAGAATCGCTTCAAGTACCCATCGGCGCGGGAGCCCTCAGTTTCGGCATTTCCTCGCCTGCACCATTTACGTCCTAAATCGCGGCGCGCAGCGAGGGCGTGTGGCATGTTCTTTTCGTGGCAGGAGTAAAAC